TGTCAGTTTTCCTTGCCAGGAAAGCGAGCTAGCTTTATCTGTACAGTTGTATGTTAATACTGTACCAAGTTCCCTGTACGTCCTGGGGGTGTATGTGTCAAGCAAGTGCCCGTGAATCTGATTTGCACATTTGATTTCAATATATATTATACATCTTATCCATATTTGACTTATTGCCAAATGATATGCACTTTATTTAAACATTTAAACTTTAAGCATGATTACATTCTAAACATCTTTAAATCTGTTTAAATTATAAACAGGTTTAAACGTGTGTAAATTCTAAAAGTGTTAAGGTTATGGGAATCTTGCGTTTAGGTGGTGTTTAGGCTTAGAGACGATAGCTCATTGCATGTGTCTGGACCCTAAACGTGTTTGGATAGAACAAACCAAATATGTATAGTTTAGGATTGAAACACATCCCTAAGCATGTTTAGATCTAAACATGTTTTAAATGTGTTTACATTCTAAAAACATTTTTTGCAGTGTATATGCTTCTTGGGAAAGAGGTTATGTTCACAGTGTAGCACGTTTTACACAATAAACACAGGTAATAGAAGTCACAGTAAACATGTCAAAACATGAACAGGCATATTCACTGGCGGGCAAAAGAAAGTGTACACTTGAAAACTGGATTTGACCAAAATGTACAAAGGTTATTTTAACGTTTCCAGGCTGAAAACAGTCACTGAAACATTGCAAACTGAAGTTCCAACACCATGATGCCCGTTTCAATTATATCACCGTCGAATAAACATGTTAAGTGTATTTCATTTTAAGCCACCGTCAAATAAAGGCATATACTTTCTTTTGCCCTGCAGTTTATAATTCGGTTCGAAAACATCCTGTATCATTTACATACTATTTCAACATTGATGAAAATAATAGATGAAAAAGATGGGAAATGACATTAAACAGTATTTGAGAGAGAGAGAGAGAGAGAGAGAGAGAGATAGATAGAGAGAGAGAGAGAGAGAGAGAGAGAGAGAGAGAGAGAGAGAGATTATATATGCCATCTTAAAATTTCATACAGTATTAGGGGTCTGAAACTCAGATATTATGTCTTCTACATTTGTAGTGTGATCACCAGGTGACGACCCAAATTTTAGTTACGTAGAAATCTGAATTAGAATTACGTTTAAATACTCTGGTAATTACAGAAGTCATATCGCAGTTGTAGTTCTCTACTATATTCACCTTTAGTTTCCAATTAAACAGTGTTGCCACAACGGGATTTCAGAATATATCAGTAAAGTTATTGTCCCATTATACAAATATTTCGAGTTTTAAATCAGTGAAAAATACAATATAACAACCAAACGTCGTACACATGTTTGCAGTTACATGTAAATTTAGGGGCAAAAGAAAGTACATGTAAACTGAGTTTGTTTTTTATGTAAATGAAAACTGTTGTTTCACTTTTGTAAAAATAATACAAACGGGGATAAGGAATAAATTTGCAACCACGTGACCCCTACCATGTTTGAAATGTTGTACACTTGGGCCGAAAAAACAAATTTATTTATTTTAGAGATAAGATATCTAAGATACCCATCAACAGTTGTGTAAATGCGATTATAAAGTTTTTTTCATAAGTTTTAATCAATTATATTTTAATGCTGACTAAGCGCCATTACAGTTAATTTTTTTTATATAATATCGCTTATAGATAATTTTAATTGAAAATCCAACAGATAATGAACTCAACTGAGAGGTAAAGTTTCTTTGCCCCTCACCGTGTTTAATATTGAGTGAGTGAATATGGTTTTACGCCGCTTTAAGAAATATTCCAACAATATCACGACGGGGGACACCAGAAATTGGCTTCAAACATTGTACCCATGTCGGAAATCGAACTCGGGTCTTCCGTGTGACGTGAGAACGCTTTAGCCACGAGGCTACCCGACCGGCCCTATTTAATATTGAGGCTATAAAGACAAACATGTATACATTTCGTTTATGTCAAATACTGATGTTCCAAAAAGGAGATGATCTCGTGGAACACATTCGTTCAGTTCTGTTGTGTTTTGTCCATAAAAATAGGTTAAATTAAGTCAGCTTCAATCACATATGTAGGCAGCCTGTCATGCAGACCCTGACACAAATATAGCCGATACAACCCTTAGTCTATAATGTTTGGCTCGTCACGATATGGCTGAAATATTGCAGATTGCGTTAAATATTAACTCACTCACTATAATGTTTGGCAAGTCTAGACGACTGCAGTTGAAAAGTGTCTCTTGGGCCAATTTTATTATATTTCACTATTATTTAACAACTTTTTTAACAACTTTTTTTTCTGTAAAATATTTTCATTTTAAAGACTAGATGTTAGTCTACTTTGTTGGCGTAAATATTCAAGAAAGTAGAACATCATTCATGAAAACCTATTTGAATGTAAGTTTATTAATACCTTCGCTATATGGCTGAAATAATGCCGCTGCGGCGTTAAATTTTAACTCACTCACTTTTAATACCTACCTGATTTTTCGGCGATCATATGTAACGGACAAGTACCAGACTGCCTGTCTGTCGTACGTCTCTCATATACCTGTTGTCTTGTCGTACGTCTCTCATATACCTGTTGTCTTGTCGTACGTCTCTCATATACCTGTTGTCTTGTACGTCTCCCATATACCTGTTGTCTTGTCGTACGTCTCCCATATACCTGTTGTGTTGTACGTCTCTCATATACCTGTTGTCTTGTCGTACGTCTCCCATATACCTGTTGTCTTGTCGTACGTCTCCCATATACCTGTTGTCTTGTCGTACGTCTCCCATATACCTGTTGTCGTGTCAGTAACGGTAAACCAGCCGGAACACAATGCAGTTCAATATGTAACCAGTTGTGACGTGTGACCCTATTACGAACAATGGTAATGGTATCTCACACACATGCCACAATTATAGTGTACTAAATTCATGTCTGCAGTGACAATTTGATACGAATATAGGAATATAGGAAATATATTTGAACTGTGGGAAACAAAACTGAACACACTTCGTATAATGGTTTTGGGTTAATTCATATTTTCCCTAGCTGTTATTTATAAACGTTTGATTGATTGAAATAGTCCATAGTGTCTCGTGTTCTTACATTACAGAAATTACTTTTGTCTTCTTAACACTATAAAAGTACACTACTATATGAATAATATAATACTTTTCTGACATCTGTACATTTCCCTTGAATAACCATAATTAGCTATGACTTAGTTTTGTTGAAAATTACTGTTAAAAGGATAAAATGGGATTTAAGTTTAAACATACATAAAAGAAACAAATATAAACGCGTTTGTTGTGTCGGAAACAACATAATACAATTCTTCTTTCACGTTTTTATCTTCATCAGTTCGACAGTTTACGACAAAAGTCATAACAAATTATGAAAACACGTTATACAGCTGTGAACTCGTCAACGGTATGCATTGTTCACCGTATGTTGGCTGATTGTGTAATAGTTGAATACTGTTCCAGCGACTGAGAGAAATATTTCTTAATCTTGACTTTATGTGAGACAGTTATGATAAAATTTCTTTTATACATTTTAATCATGTTCACATTTTAAAGGTTTTACGATTTAAAAAATTATCACCGTGAAAAACACGGGAATTATAATGTACGTGACTTTCACACGAATGTCATTTAATGATGCAATACGTGCCTGTCACACTTAGTTACCGTTATCCTGTTTTAATGAAATTAACAATGGGCACATTCAACAACCGGATGGACTGCAACCATCGTGGTATATATATTTTCCTGAAGGGCAAAGGTAATGGGAATAAGAGTTCTACTAATCATATGTGGATCTTTTAGAAAAAAATATCTTTTAATTTATGCATTTGATGTGAAATTGTATTTTGTTAACCAGGTCCCAAAAGCTTTCCAAGGTTGTTTTTTTATAATTCAGATATAAACAATTTTTTCTATATCTGAATAGCAATTTGTGTTTTTTACAGTAGTTTTGTGATGTGTTATGTACACTCCATCAATATAAAATACATCAGATTGAAAGAGAAATGAGAAACGTGGCATTCTTTAAGACCCAGCATCCATTATAATGGCATCAAACTATCCTAATCTGTCTTGAGAAGTTGTATATTTTGTACACAAAAGATTCGTCATTCTTTAAAGCAATATAGTCTATATCATAATTCTCATATCATTTTAATAACTGTAATTTGTCAAAAATAATTATGACTACAGTTACCATCTTTGATAATAACAAGGAGCAATATATGTTTGTGTTATAATGAGAAATATTGATACGAACCACTCTTGATTCATAGATTTTTGTATTGTTTGTATATATTTCTCGGTGAAATATATAACAGCCTCGCCTCATGAACATGCAACCTGCAGATATATTGACGCAAGCGCGATACTGGTTTCGAATAAAACGAGCAGGCTACACGTGTCTGCTTCGTGACATCCGGTGACTAATGAATAAAATAAAAAGCAATTTTCAAATTCAGTTTTCATGATTAATAATTTCTGAAAATTTAAGCATACGAATCGCGCGTTACAAATAAAGGTTTAACTCAAAACAATATGAAATGTCGCTCACAGTAAACAGCCGACATGCCCGCCAATAGATACGATGTAAAACTTGCATTTAAAATAGATTACACATGATCCAGTTTGACAACACCTTTCACAAACGCAATATACTATTTCCGTATTGTCATTAATTTGAATAACCCGTTGATGTTTTGACATATTTTTTTAAGGAGTTGCCTCTGGAAATTTTCCACAACGCACCGAATGTGTTATTATAATTATATATTTCAAGAATGCCTCTAATCCCACAGTACGGTATTTTCTATCAGTAGGATAATAAAAAGAGCAGACAATTACATTTACACCCCCGCCCCTCACCCCCGGGCTAAGCCGTGAGAGGGGGAAGTAAACCAGTCTTTTACTCAAACTCGTCTCTCCCTGCCTGCCTCGCGCAGTGGAAAATGATAGTCATGACGTCACGCGCGGAGCATTATGGGATGTAGAATGAGCTCGGCCGAGATAAACTGAGCGTCGTCAACAAAGGTCGCGTTTCACATTGTTTGGCTCGCACATTATGGAACTATCGAACATGGGGGAACGAGTTTTTGCTGCCGAGTGCATCACGAAAAAGAGGATACGTCGGGTAGGTGGCTACGTACACCGATTTCTTTGCGCGAGTCGATTTAGCGAAGGCACCCTCCATGATTGTTGGTAATCGTCCTCGTGTTTTGATTTCAGGGAAGGACGGAGTACTTCGTCAAATGGAAAGGCTGGTCGGTAAAGTAAGTAGCTATCACCTATTTTCGTGGGATACTGGGGTTCGTTGTTGCTTGTGCACACGAACTCAACGCTGTCCTTTGTTATATTTCAGACACAATACTTGGGAGCCTGCTGAAAACATACTAGATCTGCGTTTAATCGAAGCTTTCAAAAATAGGTAGGTTGATTTTGTGAGATTATAATGGCCGTTCTGAATATTCAAGTCGCGTTGTCGTTTTGCTGTGGTGTGTAATTGTTCACCTGGTAAATGTTGTAATTTGAGCCGCTTTGTTAATGTCTTCAGTCAGAGGGACAACCCGCCGACTGGCTTAAAACGGGGACCAAAACCAAAGAAACAGAAATTGCAGGTAAATATATTAGAATATTTGAATTGATTTTTTTCCCCATTTGCACTTTGGAAATTTCAAGGTTGTTGAAGTTAACTGAACAAACAATTCAAGTCGTGACATTTGTTGCATATTTTAAAAATTCCACTGAGATGGTTGTTGATGCAGTTTTTTTTTCTTGTGTGTGCAATTGGTTTACTTGTGTAAATGAAGTCATGTTTACGGATGTGATAAGATGAAAAGTATATATGTATATATATATATATGTGTTGATTTATACCATGTTTGTGTTTATATATGTAGATATGAAAGTCAATCATCAGTGTTCCTGCTATATTCGAGAATTATTTTTTTTAACACAAAATTATTTTTTGGAGTAAATGGTTTCAGTATTGTGTTTGTAATCCAAGAATTTGTTTACATTCATATTTTATTGAAATGAGTGGATTCTTTTTCATATTTCTACATACATATTTTATTTACCTATTTACTTAGAATAAATTTATCACTTGGTGTATCAAAATAATTTAATGTTTTACTTTCGTGATAATTATGTATTTTTTTATATAAAATTTATATGTAATGTAATTATGCGTGCTATTTATTTAGCCATATTTACACGTCTAGTGTTAATGACATAATTAAGCTGGTTCAAAGTTTCTAAGCCTCACATAAAGGTCAAACTATATGTCAGACGTATGTGGCTTGCATGAGAGAGTGCTTAATTAGGTCTAGTCATAGTGTACTTAATCCAATGTCCCACCCTAACTATCGCCCCCATTGACGTTATATAGGACTGAATCAATGTCCATACGACGTTAAAGTTTTGCTCACCCCTCACACAACCCCGCCCCAGAACACGCCCCAAAAATGCCGCATTCATCCGAGGTTCACTCACACTGAGCAAGTGAGTGAATATTACTCAATATCACACAGGGAGTTTTCAGGTTAATTTAGACGATGGTTGGTGATCGTGGTGTATATGTGTGAACATGTTATTAATTGAGTTCATGTATTTTACATTGTAGTCTGTATATTTTCATGTAAAAGCTCAGAGCATGTGTACATGCATATTCATACTAACCACTATTCGATAGAAATAACTGTGGTTATGATGAATTAACTGAATTTACCTCTCTGGTCAAAGACGTAACAGCGTATTTTCATTCATCGGGCAATTGAAGACGTCTTGAAAACAATCTGCTTCTCCATTCAGAACTCGACCCCGTCACTGTCTGTCTGTGAATGTCCGTTGTCCTTGTCATCCTAGATTCAGGGACATTTTTATGATTCTAAATACAACCACTCTTGACGTAAACATGAACCATGCCTCTAAGACAGTCGTCAGTGAAGAATTATTCTATAGCATTATACCACAATGTTTAACCATTATATGATCAGATTAGTTTAAAAAAACAGTTGCGATATCAACAAATGAGATGTTTTTGATACATGTGTCTAGCTTTAATCGTCTCCTTTTCTGACAATAATCTTTATTCAAAACAAATTATAACAAACAGGTCGACTAAATTTTGCGCGTTGAAGCAGAGAAATTGTGCCATTTTTATGATGAATATGTATGGGAAAACGTCACTTCAAATAAGCAGTGTGCTTGAGCCAAAATATACTGAACTTTTTTTGTTATATAACGACTGGGTGTTGTTACAGGCGATTGGCACATATACACTATCAATTTGAAGGTAATTTACCGTACCACATGCCTTCAAAGAAGTATTGACGTAATTGTCTTGTCGAGTTTCAATAAATAACTCCAATATCCGAGGGCTGGTTGTTATTGTGGTATGCCAGCCCAGGTGTTGCAAGTAAGCTGATACCACAGAATGATGAGGTAGATTCTTCACCCAAAGTGTGTTACTCAACGGGGAAATCAAACCGTGTATCGCCAGTATTATCAAAACTATCCAGGAATCGTTAGTTATTATCGGCCCGTGAAGATCCGGGGTAGAATAGATCTTCAGCAACCCATGCTTGCCGTAAATGGCGACTAACGGGATCGGGTGGTCAGGCTCGCTGACTTGGTTGATGCATGCATGTCATCGATCCCAATTGCGTGGATCGATGCTCATTATATTAATCACTGGGTTGTCTGGTCCAGACTCAATTATTTACAGACCGCCATCGTATAGCTAGAATAATGCTGAGTGCGGCGTTAAACAAAAAACAAACAAACGTTAGTTATTATCGTCGACAAGAAGATTGTACGAATGTATACTGGTGCCCTCCTGTAGCAACAAATAACCGAGCTTCTAACGATTGACCGACCATTCGATGTGAGTGAGTTAACATTTAACGTTGGCTCGGAATGACTTCGATGTGATAACGCTATACTCGGTGCCGCGATACGACTATCGTATGGAAAGGATACCCGTGTCGGGAGGTCATGCATTGATACAAAACGATACAAACACTTATTTTGTTATGCTCATCGTGTGAGTAGCCGGTGATATTTGTAGGGCAGGACATGCTTACCCTTTTCGCAAACCCCCAGTGTTATCACTGATCTTACAGTGACCCATTCATAAAGTTTTTCCCGCTATTATGCCTGTTACGCATAATCGAACATGTTTCAGCAGATAATAAAAACGGGTTGTTTTCTGTGCGTTGACGATGTATGTTTATTGTATACAAGGGTTACATGTAAAATGTTGAACATAGAGATAACTGTAAAATATTATTCTTTCTTGTATACACAAGATCTCACAAGCAACTGTTTTATGACTCAAATAGTGTAAGTGTGTTTTACTATTCATTATGAAGATATACATGTAAATTTTTATTTAACGTATTAGGTTTTGAACGGTTTCGTGTACCGTATCGAAACACGTAACGTATCGCAATGAAATATGTCGCGACAGCCTTACAAGGAACACTTAAATCTTTGATGCTTTCAGATCGAAGTCATATGTATGTGGTTGAAGGAGCTACGCAGGAATCAGATTATTAGAAGGGAGCGCCTTCAAGTTTTAACCTGGCACCTAAAATAATTTGTGTCCATTTGAATTAGTATAAACTCGCTTATGTACCGCGTCGAATTGTTTCGGTGAACGATTATTTTGCCCTTAATCCGTGATTTTGGATCCCCAGTCATCCATATAAGAAGTTAACCTTTCCTATGATAATGAATAAATGTATAGAAATAACAAATTTGTTGAGTTGCACAGAAACAATTTTGACACTTTTAAGTCGAAATACATTTTTTTGTAATCCTTTGTTTACCGAGATTTAATTACAAATATAATAGAAACAAATGTGAATGTTTTGCATAACTGGTGCAAAATATACAACGACACGAAGTTAGTTTGCTGTGGATATCGTGTCACTAGGTCTGGGTTCTTTCGAGATACAATCCAAGGTTTTCCTTTTTGTAACATTTGTCGGCCATCCAACATGGGTCGTGTTTGTCATCATCATCACATTAAGTTATTATCACAAAGTTTTTACTGTAGTAGCGACAGTTGCATTCTATAACACTATTATTGGTTTAAATGCGTTGTCCACGTGAGAATCCACAGCTTGCTTACAGCGTATGAATTACAATCATGTTATGAATAAAACATGGGTCTTACAAAGAGGACCGCCTCCGTGGTCACGTGGATAGCATCTGTCCGGAGAGCGGTAGGTCGGTGATTCGATGCCCCGCCGCGCCATACCAAATGACTTTAAGCTATGGTACTTGTTGTTACCCTGCCTGGTGCTCAGTTCTCAGGTAATAAAACAAGAACTGGTCGACTGTCTGAGTGGGGTATCCATGTAAAACTGTGGCATGGTAAGGGGCGTAGCTAGGGGAAATTATAATGTAAGCAATTATATTGCAGTACCTATTTTTCTAAAACACCCATAATGCTTATCAAACACAACCACAAGCAGGTCAGTGCAACATATCTAAAGCAGAGATATCACGAAATACCCTTACCAAGTTCTGTAATTACCCTTTTTTTACAACAGTTTGATTATTGTGATCAAACCCAGATTTCCTCATTAGATATAAACTGTCAATGCAAGAGAATAACCATAGATTATGCACCGAAACAGATTCCATTTGGCGTAAAGGGCAATATAGCTGTGAAAAGTAAATGAATGGATCACTGAAAATCAGTTATGACACCAGGTGTTCGCGAAAAGGGAAAATGATATGTAACATGCAAATAAGAACATCGAACCAACTCATCAACGTCACTTTTGACACTGGTAAGCGAATCAACCTGTGAATGAACAAAAGAATATGTTACTATAACACGCAAAAATCCTCTTTATTAAATTATTTATTTTATTATATTTTTGTACGATTTCAAAGTGTAAGCACTTGCTTTTTTGTGCTACGTGGTAGCTACGCCCCTAAAGATATCTCAGTGTGCCAGCACAATAAACCGACATGCGTCCGGACGGAGACAACCATTCACACTCCCACACGTGCATGCACGTCTATAGGGAAGGACAATCATCTTGAACGCGACGTTAGACCCTATTCAACCTTACATGTCTCACAAAGTTGGTTGGTTGGTTTGTTGTTTAACGCCGCACTCAGCAATATTCCAGCTATATGACTGGCGGTCTGTAAATAATCGAGTCTGGACCAGACAATCCAGTGATTGATCTCATGAGCATCGATCCACGCAATTGGGATCGATGACATGCATCAACCAAGTCAGTGAGCCTGACCACCCGATCCCGTTAGTCGCCATTTACGGCAAGCATAGTCACCTTTTACGGCAAGCATGGGTTGCTGAAGACCTATTCTGCCACGGATCCTGGCAGAATTTCATTAGTGTGCACATGCACTGGCCTTATTCTGTATGGTGACAATTGCCGAAATACCATGAACCCGACCCACTTTAAAGTAACATCACTAGCATATCTGTATAGTGTAATGTAGTGTTTGTGCTTTGAGAATACGGCTGCATGTCACTGGATCGTTAGTATTCGTTCCCGTGAGTGAATGTTGTTTAACGCCACAGTCAGCAAAATGAGGAGACCTGTACCAGGCAAATCAGTAGCCTGTGGCATGAACAACAATTCAAGTTGTTGGGGCGCGGTGAACAACATTCTTCAGGTGAGGTGAAATTGGGTTTAACGTCGCGTCCAAGATTATTGCACTTATATAGCGACGTGCATGCACGTGTATGTGTTTGTGTGGCTGCTTGTACTAGTCCGGACTGATGCCGATGTATAGTGCTAGCTCACTGAGATACCATGCTGCAGTTTAACATGAATACCCCACTCAGACACAGTATACTGACTCCGAGCCGACCAGTCCTTGTTTAAGCCCCTTAATGCCGAGCGCCAGACAGGGTAACAACAAGTACCATCTTTTAATGTCTTTTGGTATGACGCGGCCGGGGATCGAACCCCGGACGTTCCGCTCTCCGGGCGGACGCTCTACCACTAGACCACGGAGGCGGTCTCTTCGGGGGTGCGGTACGAGAGAAGTGGGACTGAGAGTAGCTTTGTGGCAAAGAGTTCGCTTGTCATGCCAAAGGACGGGTTCGATTCCTTACATTTGTATAATGTGTGAAACCCATTACAGATTTTCCTCGCCGTGATATTGCTTGAATCTTGCTGCACGAGGCGTAAAAACATACTCACTCACTTCTTGAGACGTTGTCTGTCTGAAATCTTCGCGGGAGATGTATACAGTTGCGCCAGCACCTAGACTATGCAATCTACAGTAGTATACCAGATTCCTACTCCGACATGAGATTAACATGAAACATGGCTGTATATTAAATATGTATTTGTCTTCTGATTAATTATTAGAGAAAACAAGAGAACTGCGATATTTTGAGGAACGATTATTTCAGGAGTAATGCTTGTAGTTAATATAAAATATTTCATTACTTCATGAAGAGATAAGGTTACACGCCTTTATGGAGTGAAACGCCATCCACTTTAAATAATGAATTACATCCAGGCGGAGAATGTATAGCTTTGTGGCGTGCTTTAGAATTGAATTGATATGGAAATCATTTAAATTTTGCGTATATTTGAAACGAAATAATATGAGTGTCATTACAAACTCGAGTTTTTACTATTTCTAAAGTACTTCAAACATATCATTACATGGCGGGTTCTGTGCACAAATCCCATTTTTTGTTATATTACTGAACGTATTTAACCGATACATTGCCCGAGCTGGATTTATGTCCCATTGTCACGCAGTTCCACAAGTATAACATTGTTTGGGAAATGTCATCGAACAGAAGGTGGTGTTGTCAGCAATCTGTGCAAGCCCCTGACTGGTCATTTGGAGTGCAGATCGCATAGCTACCGTGCTTTAAGGTGTTGAAACTCGAACTGACGATGGAGATGGTACACTACGCAGATAGTAGACTATGAAATCGTCTCTCAGAGTATTAATAATAAATAAGGAGAGAACATCAATATTTGGATCCAGCTAATTGATTTGTGAATACATTCTGGAATGTGTTTGATCATGTAAGGTTAGTGGTGAGCTCAAAACAAAATTGGCCTCTTAGGATTTCTTTATCATTTCATATAGATTTTGATATACAGTTCTATTAGGAACATGGACATTTGTGATCAATCGAATCAGTATTTCTGTATAAATGAACGTGCTTGCTGTTATCAAAATTAGAATAATGGTTATAGAATGAGAATGGGAAACCAAAGCCATGCCTATGTAACCCAAATTAAATTTAGATCATGCAAAACAGCCGACCATTTGATATTCAGGATGTATGTGTGGGGGCGGGGGTAAATGTTTGTAGTTTGTTTTTAATAGAATGTAATCCAGTTCACGAAGATAAATATTTTTGTTTACTCCAAAAAACAAACTTACTCTGGGTTACTGAATGTTCTAAAACACATGTTGTCGGTGCAAAGGGACTCCCCCTTCAGGGGAAATAAATGTATGTCTTGCAACGCTGACTGAAAGAAATTATCTGTCTCAAACCAAATTCCCAGCATCCTCCTCGATTATTGAAACAGTTCGTCTCAAACTGTGTATTTAGGGAAAGAAATTGGGGAGCTTTCTAATCAGAAAATAATATGCGTTTTAGAATGTACTTGTTAAGGGTAATATACTTGAAACATGTAATCAGAGAGAGATTAAATTCTCAAGTCGTATAGAGTGACACGTAATTCTTATACCCGAAGGGAAAAAGATGTGACATGTAATTTAGACATATCCAAAAAAGTCGTTTTTAGAACATTTTTCTGGTACAATGTAACTGCAAACAGTATTATTGCCTTTGAAATTAGTTTTTTTAGACTGGTCCAGAGGACTGGTGTAAAACCTTATTTTACAAGTCTTCATTGTGTAGTTAGTCCTGCTTGAACGAGTCAAACTGTTTTCTGTGTTTATATTTTCTGTCATTTTTGTTTTATTTACTTCTTATTTGTAGCAAAATTTAATTATTGAGAACTGGTTCAGAATTATGACCCTCAAATGCTACTAGTCAATGAGGGCTGCCATCATTGGATTTGTGCGTGTCCTCAGCACAATTTAGTAGTCTCGAGCTAGCGGAGAAGCGTAAATTTCGAATGCAGTGATTATCAAGAATTGGTACTGAGATTTGAATGTATTGGTGTGAGTGTATGCGCGCACACACACACACACACACACACACACACACACACACACACACACACCACACCACACGTATTGATCAGTTTGTATAGATGATATTGAACAAACACGACATATTTGTTTATTTATTTGCAGACTGTTACTGATGACAGCGACGACGACAGTGACACAGAATCCGAGACAAGTGTGCGACGACGTCGCGACAGAGACTCCAACATGGACGACGACTCCAGTTGCAGCAGCATGGAAGTTCTCTCCAACATCCGTGCTAAGGAAATGGCCAAATCGGAAAAAGCCGACAGAACCGAAGACGACAGAAAGGACAAAAGTGACCCCCGAGCCGGACCATCCACAAGTGGACACACTCTCCCACCCCCAGTCCCGGTTAAGAGAGGACCAGGGAGGCCTCCGAAATACCCCCGGCCCCCGGGCTGGGTGCCACCGAAAGCAAAACCCAAGCATAAATTGAAAGGTCCTCCGGGCAGGCGCAAACCTCAGATAGTCGTCCCTGGGAAACGAAAAGTTGGACGGCCCCCCTCGGCCAAGCGGTTGAAGCAACAACAGTATGCTTTAAAACTAGCCGAAGAGGCCAAGCTGAAAGAGAAAGAAAATGTTTCGGGCGATGCCGGATTAAGAAACGGACACTCAGGCAACAGCAAACCTAACGGAGATGCCAAAAAGATTTCCGATCCGTCGATCTATAATTTCTCCGATGTCAACTCCAATCTACAGACCCCGGCCGAGTCGTTGAAAGTGAAAGAGAAACCTGTGGAAACGAAAAGCTACTGGAGCCCGCCATCAAGTATCAAACCGATTCTGGATCAAGTTTGTATCACGGACGTATCATTGCGCGATTCCATAACGATTACTGTGAGAGAGTGCACTTCCGATTCCGGGTTTTTCCGGAAACGCGAGGACAATGAATGAGTGCATATTCTCAAATGGAGTACTATTATTATGCGTTGAATGTGTGACTTACAAACCTCATATCATGCAGATGATCACAGCTGTGACCATTGCCGCTTTTATACTTGTGTCGCCGAGTAGATTTTTGCACCGTCATGTGACCTTTCGTTGACGTCATGGAAGGATGTTTTTAATTGTTGCCCTGGATGTGTCACGTGTTTGATGGCGGTCACATGATTGAATGAAAGAGATTCAGAACTGGGACATGTGTCGGCCTTCATTGTGCATTATAAGAAGGGTCGAAGTGAGCTCAGCGAGTGAGGTTATAGTACGTTCCGTGCCGATAAATCTAATATTGATATCGATGTGTCAACGTGTCATAAATGATGCATCTTTTGATATTGATAATCTATTACACTGGTGTAGTAGACAGGCGATACGACACTTTTAAGGAGACAATGTGATTTAGTCACCAATCCTCCATGCGTTGTAGACTATCTTAAAGTATTTATCATTGACCCAAAAGTGTTTTATCATTAACGCAAGAGCAACGAACATCATATTAATGAATGTTCCTTGCTTAACCTCTTAAATCTATCAAATTTAACATTTGGACTCACATGGTCAATAGCAAACTGAAATGACAAGACGGTAGTGATATTGACAAATGATCGGTGGCAGTGAGAGCCCGAGTTGTGAATGACTGAAGTGCATCACCGTGAAATGTACATGTTATGTACAAGATATACATGTTGTAGTGGGACCATGCGCGGTGTCTCCTGGATAATCACATCCCATCTTAGAACATTTTGTGTAAGTGAATGCTGCGTATTTTCCGCTAATTAAATTAAATGCTGTCTTCTTTACTGTTGTGGTGTTGTTTTTAATAAAACAGTCCATTAGGCCACGTAAAAGCATTACAACTATGAAACGGATAGATGAATATATTTTTGTATTTTGATAACCAGACTTGGTTTATTATTATATGCTTGTTCACCATAGAACGGAGTAAGAGATCGGATTGACAGGAGTCAAAATGTCCTAGAATAGATTGTTTGGAAAATATTTGTGCATGCGTCTGTGTGTGAGGGTGGGGTGAAAAATAAGAGAAAAATATGGCTGTATAGGTTTGCGATAACGCTGAAACAGAACATTATGGTTCGTTTCTTATACCCTCTGTCAAGTGAAAGCAACCTATTCAGTGATATATGACGTAACATAAGTGACCCGAAGACGTAAGACAATACCAAATGTATTTCAAAATGATTTGGTTTTTTTAAAACATTTTTTATATGTTCACAGTCAATGGGTAGGATACAGTTCCTTTAAGCCGACTGGTGACGCCAGTTACACTTCTGCAGACTGGTTTACACATAGCCCTACATGCACAACGACTGGAATATGTGTATGTATCAGACGAAAACCAAAGTCGAGCTAGATTCAACGTTATCAAATCAGCATCAGAAAAAAGGGTTTTAGAGAAGAGAAATATCTGATAAAAAAATCTATATTGCTATGGTAGTCTTTGTTACATGTAGTGTAGTGTCTTCCGTAGGGACGTTGGTATCCGGCCAGGGTTCGTCATAACGGGCACGATTTCCAGATTGGTCAATCTTTTGGTGATAATTAATAATGTTTAATACTTATAATCTTGTTCGAAACCGTTAAAGATGTCAAACTATAACCAAATATGATGCTCAACTTTTGATAGGGATAATCAGATATGTCATTCCATTTGAGTATACAACTGAGATTATTAGAATCATTTTTGTGTGCATGGAAAAATAAAATATCCCTATCGGAAGAGGAGTAGTTCAGTTGAAAAAACTCAGACATCGGGTGCTGTTCAGTGGTTATTACTGAGACTGTTTAGGTAGGGTGTTTGTATGTCATACTTGCTCCATGGAAATCTTCAGGAGACCGTAACTAACACTATAAGTAAAGTAAAAAACCCGCTGAATATTAGAATTTTATACTCACAAGTTATCAGTCTACAAATTCTAAAATCAATAATCTTATGTTTTGTATTGACAACATAAATATAGATTAATTACAACAGTTGTGTACACTGTCTACGAGAGGTGCCCACAGAACGTCCTTTGTATATTCGCAGATCGTGTATTTAGCCTGCTGCTTTCATAACATCAGACCTCAAAACTTAAAAAAAAAAAATCAGATTTAAACACCTTCATGTCTTGACACACAAGTCTGAAAAAAATTTTAGATTAAATTTTCGAATAAATTCAAAATTGAAATCTCCAATATTATTCTCACAAGAAATTGGTGTTCTTTACATACTCGGGCATTGTACCTATTCAATAGCAGTTCCTCCATCGATCCCGGTTGATGATGGGGACAGTGTAGAATGACGTTTTTGTGTTTTACTGTTACTTCAATCTCAGTAATGGGATGCTCACGTGACCATTTCACAAGGGAAAATAACCAACTCCCTCCTTGTTTACTTTTGCACGATCCGAGATTATTTCGAAACGGCAGTCAGAAATATTGTCATTATATTACAGACACATTCACATATACTTCCCTTTCGTGTATCGTGGCAAGTAAAGATCACCCCAGAGATTACTAGTATTCTTTAGTTATTTTAGAAACCATACGGAATTATAGATATAGGCTTGTGCGAACAGCAAACTGATTGATACACTGTATTGTACACTGTTACACTGTAAAAACTGTTTAGAATGTAAACACATAAGGACATCCAAACATAAGATCTAAACATGTTTAGGGCTGTGTTTAAATCCCAAACGGAATACACATTTGGTGTGTTGTATTTGAAAACGTTTAGGGTCTAAACACATGAACGGGTAGATATTAAACATGTTTAGACCAACATGTTTAGACTAAAACATTAAACGCGTCAAACTTGTGGGACAAGGAACGTGTTTAGGCTTGTGTTCAGGATCTAAACATCTTTTACCGGGTAGGTGCGTTCTTTTACTGGTTCCATCATTGTCTTATTGCCGTCTTTGGCGTTCCCAAATGGCACCGTAATAATTTCTTACCCATTTTACCCAGTGGGGATGCCGGGGAAAGACTGTCGCCAGCATACCGTGTTACAACGTACTAATTGCATGTCATCGTGCCTCGATGTTCAGTCACATGTTTGTCTGGTCCCGATTCGATTCTTTAAAGACTGACGTAATAAAGCTGTAATATCGCTGCCTGCGGCATTAAGCATTATCACACACTCCAGGAGAGAAATTGGCCGCGTTAAGTCGGATGAGATGGTCGTGTGTTCGAATCTCGTTTTCGCTCAGAATCTTGGTTTGTCGGCACTATACCAGGGCTTCCATGTTTAACTGAAGTGGTAAACGTTAACTATCTGCCTCTTTTGGTTTTAACTCTCCCACTACGCTGACTATTTTTTGTACTGTTAACTCCGTTAAAGTATCAACTATATAAACAGGTTATAATTCCCATGCGTTCATGATGTGAAAAACGAACTTCGGATTTTACGAAAATGAAATTTACAGGAATGCATTTTTATTTCCCTATTAACTTATCAACCATTAAGCGCCGCGCTTCTGATGAGCTCCCGATCATGCACGACTAATATTGCAGCAATGTTACAGCATTAAACAAATCTAGGTCAGAGATGCAGTATGTAACATCAATACTACCCAAATAAATGCAGTTAAATAATTGATAATGTTTTACCTGAACCAAGGAGAGTGTACAATTGTATAGTCTCCCTGCCTAAACTTAATTTACTTGTAATCACTTATTTTTCTCTAGGACAGAACGCCTCCGTGGTCTAGTGGTAGAGCGTCCGCCCGGAGAGCGAAAGGTCCGGGGTTCGATCCCCGGCCGCATCATACCAACAGACGTTAAAGGATAGTACTTGTTGTACCCTGTCTGACCCTCGGCATTAAGGGGTTAAAACAAAGACTGGTCGACTCGGAGTCAGGATACTGTGTCTGAGTGGGATATTCATGTTAACCTGCAGCATGGTATCTCAGTGAGCTAGCACTATAAATCGGCATCAGTCCGGACTAGTACAAGAAGCCACACAAACACACACACGTACATGCACGTCGCTATATAAGTGCAATAATCTTGGACGCGACGTTAAACCCCATTTCACTCCGACAACGTGGGACGTTGCTCACAATATCAAATACTGGTTTGGCTGACAGACTATAATTTCCAGGACTATTTCGGAGTGCACATGATATTAGCTTTGGTCTCCCAGCCGAAACACCGCTTTAACACAACATACCCATAATCTAAACATGTTCAGAATTTATACACGTTTTAACATATTTGGAATCTAAACTCGTTTAAACATGTTTCAATGAGATTTTAAACATGTTTAAAGTTCAATGGTGACGAGGAAACTTGACATTTGTAAGGACAACAGTCTCCGTAGCATAGGTAGTAGCTTGATGGACTATAATCAAATCAACAGTCTGCAGGTTCATATCCCGGCGGTTTGAATTTCCAAGTGTTCTTAAATGTGATGATGCTGTATAGTATTATTACGATAGTCCCTTAACAGCTTTTACTTACTCCACACACACCCAAAAAATCCATCTATACTGATACAAAAAGCTTATATCGCCGCACACACCCCCCCCCCCCCCCCCAAAAAAAATAATAAAATAAAATAAATAAATAAAATAAATAAATAAAATGAAATGAAAAAATAAATAAATAAACAATAAAAAAACAACAACAACAAAAACTATAGAAAACAAAACAAACAAACAAAACACACACGCACACATTTCTGCATCCCTGTAAATGCTAAACAACATATAAAGCGCCTCTTTTTCTATTTACCTGCAATGAACTTCCAAGGGGGGCATACGGCTCTTTCCCACATTAAGACATGTAATCCGCCCGTCCGTCACTTAATTAATCAGGAAACATATTAATTGACTAAATTATGCCATACATCAGTGGCCCTTTTTAAAAGTAAAATAGTTCAGGCTAAAATCGAAACGGTTAAATCAGGTGCAAAATTTTCTTTTGAACCGTTCAGACATTTCCCGGGCAGACATTAGTACGCTATTCCTTGCAATCTTGCCAAATATAGGCTACGTTTTATCGAATATTTCATGTTCTAATACGCCTTTAACGAAACAGTTTTGTTTTTGACGTCAAGTAATCAGATGTAATTGTAGAGAAGAATTAAAGTAGAGACGGGAATTCTTGACTTAGAATTCCCGGTGTGACTTGAGTCTAACTGTAACAACCTCTCACCATCAGCAGGGCGTTGTGCCATTGGGGTTGTGTGACGTCACGTGATTAGTAACACACATACGACTAGTTGATGATCACGTGGCCTGATTTCCGCATTTATCCTTAATGATAGCAGCTACTGGTTATGTCGTAGCGTATTTTAACGTCGGTAATGATCAAATGTATGCCACAAAATGTTTTGTGAAAAGCTCCATGACATACATGTTCAAATAACGAGAAATGTTTTAAGAGGTTCAGAAGGGTTTTTTTAATTTTAATTATCTGTTCTTAAGACTTTTTACTTGATTTTCATTCTAAGGTCGCTCGCCATGGATAATACCTGAGTAGTGAAGGCCGAGGAACCAATGCCTGGAGTCGCCTCGACCATTGTCATGCTGAGTTGATGGAGGAATATCTATTCTCGTGCACTTCAGCCTCGATATGATGTAATGTTCCTCACATAATAAAAAAAACAAACCTCAGTCGTTTTATTACGGGATAAAGATATGTAGTAGTCCGACAATACAGGAATTGGAGTGAGTGAGTGGATATTGCTTTAAGTAGCAACAGCAAGATTGCTGCTTTTCTCGGCTAAACATGGATTGGAGCTCGAGAGCGTCTTTAGCTTCAAATTACCATGGTATCGGGTCATTAACCTC